AACGACCGGTCAGATTATAATTCACTCATTGCAATGAACTGAACTCTATGCCGTCATTAAGAAGAACGAGGAAACCGTGTGGTGATAAGGAAAGAGCACCAAGGCACAGTCAGCTTAAAAAAAAATGCCGGTGTAGAATAGCAAGCTATTTGTGCTTAAAAAAATACACACACTCATGCCCACAGACTGGCCCCGGAAGGACACTCGGAGCTGGGGCAACAGGAGGTACCCGCGGAACAGGGGTGGAGGGAGATTTCTTTTTTCATCTCGAACTTTTGAATCATGGACTTGTGCTTCTAGTACCTCTTTAGAAATAAATGTGTAAATAGATAAAGAAGTACAATTTAAAGTTTCTAGACAAATGTATATCAGGAGTGTAAATGAAAGGCTGTTCTTCCTAACTTACCAACGTTCAGTTTGGGAGAGTCTGAGTTCAGTCTGCCGTTAGAGAGGCCCTGGGGAGGCCCGGTCTCCACCACAACCCCTGCACCTTCCACGCCCCCTTCTGCTGCCTTATTTGTGGTTAATGTGATTGATGTCTCTGCACTATGGCTGCTGCCCAGCCGTCCCAGAGCCTTCCTCTGTCCCTGTAGCCCATCTCTGCTTCCCAAGTGTTGCCACCTGGCCTGCTAGCCACGGAGCCACTAAGCGGGCAGCATGCCAAAAACAGGGTCTGTGCGGCCCAGGACTTGGCAAGTTCGTGTGCAGCCGCTTTTCCGTACAGGGTCTCGGCAACGCTGGGCTTGCACAGGCCTGGCCCGGATCACGACAGTCCTCTGGGAGGACTTTATCCTACGGAGGCCCTCTGCTGGGACATCTCCTCTCTCCGAGTCTCTGCTAAACCTCTGTTGGTCCAGACGGGGGTTTTAGGAAGTAGTGATCAGGGATTTTTAGAGAATGATAATGGATATAAAACTGCCCTACCCTCCCTTAGCTTAGACCAGTTTATCTCGAAGGGAGACCCGAGCACAGGTGTGTGCCACTGTGATTGGAAAGGAAGACAGCTTCCTGATCGGAACCACAGCGAGGCACTTGATTTTGTTTACCTGCGATGCAGCTTCCTCATCATTGCGCCCAGTCACTACTTACTTCAACTCGCATGAGGTAAAGCCTAAACACAACATGTTCTCAGCGGGAGGGGCAGGCCCAGGAGACTGATGTGGCAGGAGAACTATAAACTCAGAGTCTGTCTCCGGGAAGAGTGATGGCTGACCCCATGTAAGAATTCTAATTCTGAATATTTGTGAAGTCAGGTTGTCATGAGATTAATGAGGTCTGGGAATTGACACATAGTGGGCTGTTGATAGGGATTGTCTAACCTGTTTTTCATTTGTAGATTGTGTAACAGGGTATGGCAGTGTCTCAGTGGCACGAGCGCTTGCTACCTGCTGTCCCCTCCTAGGTGAAGTCGGGCCTGGCTGGTGTAAGCCTGGCTCCCTGTCTCGCTGCTCTGCAACTCCTGCTGAGCAGCTTTCAGGGACCATAACTGGTGCTGAAATTGGAGATGGGAGAAGAAAGAACGTGCCATGGCCAGGTGAAGGTCGGTCCTGCGATCCCAGCATCTGCTGCTGCTTCTATAGCTGCTTATAATCGTCCCTCACTCCTCTCTCTCACTTGCCCAGCTCTGAGGACCCTGCCTGCCAGCAGGGCTTCTTCCCATAAACATTTGAAGAAAAAGAACCGCCAAAGTGTCCCTCAGGAGGGAAGTGGGTAAAGAAGATGTGGTGCATATACACAGTGGAAGACTACTCAGCCATAAGAAAAGATGAAATACTGCCATGTATGAAAACATAGATGGACCTTGAGAATATTATGCTAAGGGAAATAAGTCCGTCAGGAAAAGCTAAGAACCATATGATTTCACTCATGTGGGATGTAAAACTGAAACTCCTGGACAGATAACAGCAAGGTGGTTACCAGAGGGAAGGGGTGGGGGTAATAGAGTGTAAAGGGGGCCAATTAAATGGTGATGGAAGATGACTTGACTTTGGGTGGTGGGCACACAGCGCAGTAAACAGATCATGTGTCACAGAATGTACACCTGAAACCTATGAACCAATGCCACCCCAGTAAATTTAATTTAAATTAAAAAAAAAATTTACCCTAGAGAAAGAAAAGAGAACTGATTTTTTTTGTTGTTTTGTGTTGTTTTTGTTTTGCTTTGTTTTGTTGACTCTCAGTCAGCGTCCCTGAAAGGGCCTGGCTTCTCCGTTGTCAGCTTCTCGGACAGTAAGGAGCGTTGCATTTCCCTTCCGAATTCTGCTCACTCAAACACCCAGTCTCTGCTGTTCGGCTTCTGTGTAGTTTCAATCCGCTGCTGACAAGACCTGAGAGGTAGCTTGCTGGCGGACAATCTCTCCTGCGGTAGGAATTAACTTGCTTGAGTTTCCATAGCATTTTCAAGTTAGAGTCGACAGAAATCTAAAATCGAGTGGGTCCATAGATGGATTTCACTTAGTCTTTGAGGCGCTACAGAATTAATCTCACATCGATCAATACATATAAATGACCACTATGAGCAAACTGCTGAGCTGAGTGCAGTGGGGGAGGGGAGGAGACAGACGTTCCCTGCTTTTAAAAGATTTGGTCTAGTAGTTGGATAAGTAAGCTATTTGCGAGGAAAAAAGTTAACAGAACAGGGAGGCGTTAATTGGGGCCTGGTGAGTTATACAACCAGCAGCAGCGGAGCAGAGACTACTGGGTTGGAAGACTTTGGAGCCTGTGACTCCCTCCCCCTCCCCCAGGGCCTTCAAGGACAGAACCAGTGCTGGAGGCCAAGTGCAAGTTTAAGGAAAAGTAGTATGGAGACTATGTAGAAGAAGCGGTTTTAACGAGCAGACCTGTATGTTCTGTCACTAGCAGGCACTGCTTGTGGATGGATTGATAAAGAGGTGTGTGCTATACCTTCTCTGTGCTAAACCGGGGGCCCTGAATCAGGACTACCACAGGTGGTGAAGCACTGAGTGCCCTGCACTGCCCAGAAGTGCCTAACTGGCAAGGGGCAAGGAGAGGCTGAAATCCAGCCGAGTTGTGCTTCCTTGAACCTTGGTGCTGGCTCTTTCTGGCCAGACCAAGAGGCGCCTTATAACTCTGCCAGGCTGTGTATCGGGGGCTACATCCAAACAGAGGGCCACCTCTTTACGAGTGCTTCCTAATGGGGGCGGCCCTTTCAAAGCACACAAAGGTGCTATACAGGACAGTGATGGCTCTGCCTCTGAGTCCTAATCTGCCGCTGCCTAAAATGCAGCAAAGGGTTGAATGAACGTTGAGATGGATTATCGATGTTCTGCACACACTCAGTCTCCCTTCTTCAAGAGGGACTCTCATGCGGTTTTCTGCCTGATGCTTTGGAAGAATGGCAGTGATTTGGGGGCTGGGGTGGAAAGGCAGAGATAGGCTTGAAGACTCCTTAACAGTTCTAAAATTTTTTGAGTCCACAAATTAGACTGGATGCTAAATTTAAATCCAATCCTCTCCTTCAAGCCAAAGCTGTTTTCCTGTGGTCAAGGCTTTCCATGTACCTTTCGTCACAATGCACCTCAGCTATGGACCGAGCCCTTGTGCTGTACATAAGTGGTCTAACTACTTTGGAAGGAACTGAAGAAGTAGAGGGTGGACTTTGTCCCCAGATGCTCACCTATTTAGGGAAAGAGAAGTGTTAACTACAAAATGAGGGCATCGGCCATTTATAGGGATTTTTAATGGCTACCTTGTCAGAGATACATGGTCTTGATTTTGACACCACAGTGGAATTTTCATGTGCTATAAAAAGTGGTAATTCAGCAATCACAAAGCATTTCCTGTCCGCACGTTCATTTGCAGATAAAGATACCACAGGAGTGGTAAGTTGGGATTAAAAGGAACTGACCTGCCAGGGCAATGCTATTGAGTATGTCTGCCCTGATGCTCAGTCCCCGGGGCTCTCACACTCTCAGGAGTATTATCTGTGAGTTCTTTGCTGTGCAGGCCGACACCAGGAGGGTCTGATCCATGTGTAACACCGTCTTCCCCCTTCCCTCAGCCCTTCCTCTCCTCCCCACATGGAAATGGTTTCTTCTGCTCTTGAGGCTGCAGAGACGCTCCTGTGTCCACCCACACTACTCAACCTCCATCCACAGTGGGGGGACCCTCGTGAAGGCCTTCCTTTCTATTCCTTTTTACCAAGGTCACATCTAGTTTTCCAAAAAGCCTGTTGATCTTGATGATAAATCCCCATTGTCCCAGATCCTGTGGTCAGTATGTAAATGAACAAGATCCCCACCTCACGCTGGAGCTCTTGCACTGAAGCGCTAACACGGGGGCTTTTATAGGTGGTTGGGAGGCGGGAGGGATGGATGCGGGGGGAGAGAGGGAGAGAGTGAGTGAGCACATGTGTATACAAAGGCCTATCAGATGGGCGGATTTGAGTCTGAATCCCGACTCAGTCAGATGCTAGTTCTGCTTTTAATATCTAAGAGCCTCAGATTCCGCACCTATAAAGGGGGGTAATGATCCCAGCCAGCCTGGGTGGCTGTGCAGATAGACAAGAGACTGTAACTTGCGTAACGAGGTGCCAGCTTAAAAGAACAACCCTAAGTTGGACCTATAGAACTACAACAAAAGGTGGTATGTGGCACAGGACAAGTGCAAACAAAGGGCAGTGGGGGTTCCCAGCAGGAAGGCTCACACCTGGCTGAAGGCACGTGATTGAGTGTGTGCAGGGCCCTCCCAGCCTCCAGGTGCACTCCACTCCAGCAGCCGGGCAGAGCAGGGCAGAGCAGGCCCACAGGAGCAGACCTGGGAGGCAGCAGGTCCCCACACAGTCAGATGTTTACCTGCTGAAGCCAGCTGAGAGGGGTTAGAATGGAGATTCGGAAAGGGCGCAGCTGCCCAAGTTGACCTCAGCCTTCTGGTGGGGATTGAAGATCATTCCAGTCTCCAGAAAGCGAGGTGATTTCACCCTTTTGTCCGTCCACCCGCCTCTGGATGTCTAAGGTGAAGCGTTTTTCTCTCTTCTCCAGCTCAGAGGCTGAGAATGGTATGGAGGAGAAAAAGAAGGCCTGCAGGTCGCCGACAGCCCAGCCTCCCACCCCATCCAGTGAGGCCGAGTCCCCAGACCAGAAGAGACTCATCTGCCTGCGGTGAGTCCTCACGTTGACTGTGTTCCTTTTACTCTTTTTGGGAGGAGGGGTTGCCGGGGGGAGCTGGTGTTTCTAGTGTCATGGTGGTGGTTAAAAGAGTGAGGGTTGTCTATAGGCAAATAACACCCCTAAGAAGGAAGTGGGGTGTTTTCCCTTGAAATCCCAGCACCGGCGCTTGCCTTCCTTGCTTGTCTCTTCCCAGAAGCACCTTTTTGTCCTTCCAGCCCCAGCCTTCTGCGGAATGTCTGCCCTTTTCTCAAAGCACTGCCTTTGCTAACTGACAAAGCTGGGGTGGTCCTCATCCCAGATTTACACAGCGCCTACGAAGGCCGGCCAGGCTGTCTGTGAGGCCCGCCCAGGGTGGAATGTCTGCTTAGCCCCTGGGTGTGCACACCTGCTGTCCTGCTTTCCTGGCAGCTACGGAAAGAGCGGAGGGGAACCCCACCTGGGATCCCCAGGCTGGGTGTTCATGGGTGGGGGCATTCCCTGGGGTGGGTGCGGGTTTGGTTGTAGGGCCGTGGGGGTGGGGGCAGGCAGTTTTGAGATGTGGAGCTGTGGACCCCATCACTCTCAGAGGCAACAGTTGTGTGCTTTCCTTCACGTGGGTGGAAGAAGTAGGAACTTAAGAATGGCTTTTTAGCCCTTAAAAGAGAATGGTTAAAGCAGTGGTCCGGTGTGAGTAATGCAGCCACCGATCCGTAGGAGTTGAGGGGTGATGGCCCTCCTCCCTGTTGTTAGAATGGGCAGACTGCTACCTCCTGCGTCTTTTGGCCTCTGCTAAAGGATGATTCAATGTCTCCTGCTTTCCCTCCCCTCCCGGCTACCCAGCCCACACCCTCTCTCCACATCTATACTTCATGCGGGACCAAGCGTAAGTCTTCCCCCAGATCTCTGTCACTCCCGGTTATCGCTCCATCCTTGCTGCACGCCTCAGTCCGATCTCTTCCTTCAACTGTGTTTTCTATCACTGTTTCCTGTCACAGCATCCTGTGTCGCTCAGCAGACAAGTCCCTCCATGATGGCACAAAGCATGTCGTTTCTTGTGTCTTTCACTGCTATTGACTGGCTACAGCATGCACTTGTAAAGTCCTGTTGGTTTTACTCCAACTTCCCCAGGCTTTAGAAGATGAGACTAACGCACTCATTATTGGGGCGTGCTTGTTAAACTTCACAGGGCATATGCCCTACATAGTTGCAAAGATCCCAGCACTTGGTTTAAGGCTCTGCTCTCACTGACTGGAAATGCTTAATACATGGTCCTGCCCATAGTCACTTGTGGGAAGTGAGAATAACATGGTTGAGAAGACCCAAAGAAATCAGTACTATGTAAATATGCACCCCTCCCCCACCACCACGGAGACCAGCGCTGTGCAGGCAGGCCCCTTCTGCTGGTCCTCTTGAAGTTACTATGCTACAGCTGCCCTGCTTGTCACATTTGCTTCCTGTCCATAGTTCTGCAAAGGGTCTGATCACTGCCTTGACAGTTCCATTAATTGGAATCAGTAGAGTTGATAAATCCAAATGAGTGAATAGTATAAATAATAGGTAATTGGACAATTGAAAAAGTCATTTTATTTTCAAGTACAATAGAAATGTTTTCTCACTTTTTTAAAGTACTCCCTAGAATTCTAAAGAGATTTTTATCTGTGAATAGGCTCAGTGGCCAGTACCTGATTCCAAATCACTGTGCCTTGAATGGCTGAGAGGTATTTCACCTGTTGTTTGAGCATCGCGGATTCAGACTGAGCCTGGAAGGGGCCGAGGACCTCACACAGTCCGTTTTTTCACAGCTGAGGGCACCGGAGCCTGATGTGTCTCTAACTTTAGTCATTTCTGTCCCTCTGTCACACCCATATGCCACTTGGATTGCTTAAGATTCTTCTTAAATCAGCTTTGAACCAAACTTTTTAACTGTACCCCATTATAAGGAATCATATGGTGAAATCATGCATTTCATATGCCATTTTCCCCAATAAACAAAAAATCTATATAATCATGTCATAAAACTTGTTCATATATAGACCCCTAAAAATCACACATGCATTCCATTTTGACATGACTAGGTTGAAGATCCCCAAGTCTACTAAAATGGAGACCCCTTGCTAGAATAGAATCACCTTAGAAGGCAATCCTGGACTTGCCTTTTATCCTGATTTCACTTCGGCGCTCTGGGATGTTTTGTCTCTTCCTTACAGCCAATGCTGCTTATCCCAGGAGGCCCCAGGTGTGAAGCCCACGGTGTCCTATTGGCTCCGCTGTCCTCCTGTTAGACACCTGTCTCGTACCTCCTCCTCCTGCCCATGATAGGTTTTGTTTTGGTGCTGAATCATGTACCACCTTTCTGAGAAGGTTTTTGTCTTTGTTGTCATTTTTTATTGAGGTATAATGGACATACAACATTATATTGGTTTCAGGTATACCATATGATTCAAAGCTTGTATACCTTGCAAAATGCTCACCACAATAAGTCTAGTTCACATCTGTCCCCACACAGTTACAATTGTTTTTCATGCGATGAGAACTTAAAAAGCTGTTTGCTGTGTACACAGGCTCTTGTGTGTCCCAAAGCATTCAACACAATGCCCCACTTAATTAATGCTTGTTAAATATTAATAGATTTCTGAAATACAAAAATCTTTGATTGAGCTATAGCTGCAATTTTGTTTAATAGTCTGCCTACTATATTCCTTATTGAGACTATATCATTATTTTCACAACTAGGTTGTAGTTTTCTCTTCCACAAATTACCATCTCTTCAGTGTGAGATTCCCCCTGCTGAAGTCACCCCAGTCCTACAACAGTCACTCTGTAAACCCCCTTAGTGGTAGGAGTGACTACTGATATGCAGAAGGGAAAAGCAAAGTCTGGTTTTCTCATGATATGGCATAATAATTGAGGTTTACTACAATAAAATTAATGAGTAATGTAAAAAATTCATTCTATAGACTCCCTGGATTTTCTTTCCTCAGGTCAAAATCCAATTTTGATGGTGCCTCTTTAGCAAGTGATAAGAGCGACTGTAAAACAGAAAGCAAAAGCGACTCTAAGGCGGACAGGAAAAAGTCTTCTTCTTCCAGCCAGGTAAGTGGGCAGTGCGGTGTGTGTTGTCTCACAGGTGTGTGACATCCTTGCATTAAAATGAAGGAGTCCGACCAGTCACTTGGGTGAACAGAAGGCCACCCGCCAGCACACAGGCGGAACAGCTGTGAACAGGGTCAGGATTCCCCTCCAGAAAGTGTTTTGGAGAAGGGCTGAAGCCCAGTTCTGTGCCACAGAGTGTGACGTACTCTCTGGGCCAGCAGTCAGGTTTTTGATACTTCATTTCTAAGCACTGGAATATGTGTCTCCTAAGAATTATTACAAAACAAAACTTCCAGCCAAGATGGAGGTAAAGGTAGACATACTTTGCCTCCTTGCATAGCCATAAGAAGGATCACAGCTAACCTCAACCCCCCCGCAAAAACCAACCCAGAACTGCCAGAAAATTGAATTATCTGGAAGTCCAACAACCAAGGATTTAAAGAAGCCATGTTTATCTGGATGGATAGGAGGGGCGGAGACAGGGAGCCGGGGAGGAGAGGACACGGCGTGGTGGTGCCGAGGTGGTCAGCGGGGCAGGTGGTCCCACGTTCACATGTGGCAGATAAAAACCAGGAGGGACACCTGGGGAGCGAGCAGTCCCAGCCTCAGGCCAGACCACGAGCCCAGGGTTCTGGCTCCAGGAAATAAAGCCGCATAACTTCCGGCTGTAAAAACCAGTGGGGGTTGGGGCAGTGGGAGAAACTGTCGGTCTCTCAGGGGAGACTCAGGGGAGTCTGTTTAAAAGGCCCACTCTGGGATTTCAGTACCAGGGCAGCAGCTAGAAGGGCACCAGTCACTTGTGGGAAGTGGGGGAAGCGACTGGAAATGGGGCAGGAGCCAAGCAAATAGCACTGTTCCTCTCTGACCCTTCTGCCACATACAGTGCCACAAAGTGATGAAGTAGACTGCTCTGCCCTGGCGAAGACCCAAGGCTCCACTCCTTATAACATGACAGGTGCACCAAGACATGGAGTCAAAGCAGCTCTACCTAATACACAGAAACAAGCACAGGGAGGCTGCCAAATTGAGGAGGCAAAAGAAACATGGCCCAAATGAAAGAACAGTTCAAAACTCCAGAAAAAGAACTAAGTGAAATGGAGATAGCCAACCTATCAGAGGTAGAGTTCAAAACACTGGTGATCATGATACTCAGAGAACTCAGTAAGTACAGCACAGGCATAAGGGAAGAAATGAAGGCCACACTAAGTGAAATGAAGAAAAATCTACAGGGAACCAACAGTGAAGGTAAGGAAGCTGGGGTTCAAATCAACAATTTGGAACATGAGAAAGAAATAAAGAGTCAACCAGTACAGAATGAAGAAACAGGAATTTAAAAAAAAATGAGAGAACAAGACTGTGGAATATCTCCAAAAGTACCAACATACAAATTATGTAGATTCCAGAAGGAGAACAGGAAGAGCAAGAAATTGAAAACTTATTTGAAAAAACAATGAAAGAAAACTTTTCTAATATGGTGAGGGAAATAGACATACAAGTACAGGAAGCACAGAGTCCCACACAAGTTTGACCCAAATAAGGACACACCAAGATATATCATAACTAAAATGCCAAAGGTTAAAGATAAAGAGAGGATCTTAAAAGTAGCAAGAGAAAAGTAGATAGTTACCATTAAGGAAGTTCCCATAAGACTGTCAGCTGACTTCTCAAAAGAAACTTTTCAGGCAAGCAGTATTCAAAGTCATGAAAATCAAGACCTACAACCAAGATTGCGCTATCCAATAAAACTATCATTTAGAATTGAAGGGCAGATAAAGTGCTTCCCACACAAGGTAAAGCTAAAGGAGTTCATCATCACCAAGCCCTTATTTAAAGGAGTGTACTTAAGAAAAAAAGATAGAAACTATAAACAGTAAAATGACAACAAACTCACAACTATCAACAACTGAATCTAAAAAACTAAAACTAAGCAAACAACTAGAACAGGAAGAGAATCACAGAAATGGAGATCACATGGAGAATTATCAGCAGGGAGGGTTGGGGGGAGAATGGAGGAAAAGATACAGGGAATAAGAAGCATGATTGATAGGCACAAAATAGGGGGATGTTAAGAATAGTATAGGTTCTGAATTTCTTTTCAGAAAACCTAATTAAATAACTGATCTGTTAAAAAAAACTATTATAATACACTGTTGACACACCCAAGAAATTGAACTAATAGTAAATATAAAAACATATTAATATAAAATCCATTTTCAAATTTCCACAATTATCCCAGCAGTGAATATTCTTTATAAGGATTGATTTTTTGTTTTCCCCTGTAAAATCTGATCAGGATCCAGGCACTACATTTGTCATATTGCTTTTTATTTTAATCGGTCTAATATCTTTTTTTAAAAATCCTCACCTGAGGATATGTTTATTCATTTTACAAAGGGAGGGGGGAGACAGAGAGAGAAGAGAGACAGAGAAACATTGATTTGAGAAAGAAACACTGGTTGCCTCCTGCACACACCCTGACCAGGGATCGAACCTGTGACCTTTTGGTTCACAGGATGATGCTCCAGCCCACTGAGTCGCTGTGCCAGGGCCCCATTACCTTTTTATTTTTTGTTAACCTCTTATTACAACGGCATGTTTGACGAGTCCATGGCCCAGGATATTTTTAAATCAAGTGTGCAACAGTGTTCACTGTACCACTAAAAACAGAATGTCGGTAAAACTCCCATAGAACACCTGCCTTTAGTCAAGGTGACTCCCTGGATGCAAAAGGTACTCCCAGGAAGCAGCGTAAAATAACCTACTTTATACGAGGTGTTTCTCTATAAAACAGCTCACTCCTGGGGAGCAGTCTGCCATCAGCATGACCTGTCTGAAGCTCTTCTTTTTTTTAAGTGTATTTTATTGATTGTGCTATTACAATTGTCCCATCTTTCGCTTCCCTGTGTTCTCCTCTGCCCTGCACTCCCCCTCCCTCCAGCACTTCCCCCTTCAGTTATGTCCGTGGGTCACCCAGTTCTTTGGCTTCTCCATTTCCTATACTGTTCTTAACCTCCCCCTGTCTGTTTTGTGCCTACCAATTCTGTGAGGCTCTTCTTTGCAGTGATACTAGGGCCGATTTTGCCGTTGAGACCACACCTAGTTTGGACAGTGAGACATCAAGGACCTAACTATAGTACCTCTGTTTTCCTCGTGAGACTTTTTCACCGAAAGCACCTGTAGGCAGAGCGGTCCTGTGGAAGGAGGACTCAGCTCCGCCTCTGAGGAGCTGTGTGGCTCCAGTTACTCAGCATCTCCGGGGCTCAGTGTCCTGAGGTGGACGTCAGCCTCCGGGTTATTGTGCGGTGCTTTGTGAAAGCACCTTGCAAAGCAGAAGTACAGTCTGCTCATTGTTACAGTTGTGGGAATGGATGCCCTGAAAATGAAGTGCTTTTCAGCATTTCAGCCTCTTGGGCCTTTTACCCTCGTTGAGAGAAATCCTCCTTGTCTTGTCATCTCCCCTGACACCGAGGAATGCCCCACAGCAACAACACTGTCAGTGACAATGGCAGGGAGTAGGTCCTTTAGCTGTGTTATCTCATGCACACCTCTGTGGCATCCCACAGAGGCAGCTACTGTTTTTGCCTTGGGAAGAGAAGAGGAAACTGAGGCTCAGAGCAGTTGAGTGACGAGGCCACAATCACAAGCCAAAGGAGAGAGGGGTGGCCAAGGCTTAAACTTGAGCTGACAATAACTGCTCAAGGTCCCCTTCTCAGAGTACTCACTGGTGCAGCGCCCTGGGGTCTTGCCCTCCCCTAGTGAGATTCCTCAGAAGTTCTCATTTCTCATTCAGGGCATCTTTAGCTCGTGGGCAGATGGCTGGCCACCAGCCGTATCGTGATTGTAGCTGTCGATCAAACCAGCAGGTCACTAGTCCTGTTGGAAAAGGAAGTTTTTGCGCCCTGCCTCCCACTGTTTGTCACAGAAAGGCCATTTGTGCTGGAGACTGTGAGATCAGAGATGGAATTCCTGAAGATACATAATGAGGGAGGGAAAGTGTATTGTGTGATTTAAATGGAAGTTAAAAGGTATGGGGTTTCACAGAAAAAAAAACTAAGAGCCTCGATGTCTCTATTCTGTTCTCACTGCAGTACAAGGCAAATATGCATTTCCACAAGTTGTTTCTTGACGTCCCAACCGAGGAACCACTGAGGCAAAGTAAGTTCTGACTTGTTTGGCTTTTCAAGCTACATGTTTGCAAAGATGCTAATTGTTTTTGTGGGAGAAAGAGGGCGTGGTCTGGGGACCGAGTCACCAAGGGGGTTGGTTTCTGAAACTCAGGTTGTGGTAACAATGCCAGCTGCCACGCAGTGCTCCCCAAGTACCTCGGGGAACAAGAAAGAATAGGAAACTGAATCTCTCCACATGGTATGGAACCAGTCCGAGATGATTCCCTATTTACTGCTGAAACGCATTGTGTTCCAATTGTCCTGAGATTCGGGATGGAAAGAAACACAGGTCAGGTGGAGAGCCGTGTGTTGATTCCTGCCTTGTGCAGGGCTCAGTGATCGCATCCAAATGCTGGGTCCAGCACGCCAGTTAAGCACCTGCTGTCCTCGTGGTTCACCTCGTGGTTCAGCCTCTCTCAGTATATACATCAGGGCCAGACGCTGGACTCCAGCCGTGATCCCCAAACAGAAGGCGTGGGTCCGGCGCTCTGCCCACAATCAGACCATCTGTAATATTCCAAAGGGGCCATTGGCGACAGTCCCGGGGGGAGGGGCCGAAGCGTGGACATTAGCACGGGCGCCACGCCTTCCTACCTAAGGGAGGTTTCTGAAACACCATTCTTGAACTCTTGTTTGTAATGATAGACTTGCCTTTCCATTTTGAATTTCATACTAAAATGTGTAAGGCTTTGAATGAAAAGAAATTCTCATCTTCATACTTTTATTCCACTATAGATGGTGGAGAAAGAGGTGATAGATCTTTTGAGTGTGTGAGGGTCCATCTGCCCATCTCGGAGTCTCAGCAGATGCACAGAATTCTCACTCTAACTGCACATTCTAAACGCCGTTTTACCCCTCTGTGTGTTTTCTCAGGTTTTACCTGTGCTTTACAGAAAGAGATTCTGTACCAAGGGAAGCTCTTTGTGTCAGAAAACTGGATCTGTTTTCATTCCAAGGTCTTTGGAAAAGACACTAAGGTTTGTATATTTTTTTTAGAAAGAAAGCTAACCCTTTACTTGACTGTATTTGCAATATTGTTTAAAGTGTAGCAATACTTGTAAATATCTGTGTCGTTATCATACCCTTACACGAGGTTCCCAGTCTGACCAAGGTGTACATCCACAGCCCCCAGGGGCGTGGACGGACACCTTTCTGTTCTCATTAAATGAAGATCTGGGGGGGGGGCAGGGGACCCACAACACACCGAGCCATTAAGGAGAGTAGCCTAAAGGAACTGGCGGTTTTCCCAAGGCACCGCCTTCTGAAGCAAGGACCTTGGGCCTGTGGCATCGGGAGGGAAAGATAATTCCATCCCACTGACATTCTTTCCCTTTGAGCTGTGCCGTCACATTCAGGTCACCAGAATAAGGAGTCAGAGAGTCACCGCCTTGGGTTCCCGTGACCTCAGTGAGTTTTCACGTACCGTGACTTATGATTATGAATAAGCAGCTTTTATATTCATGAAGTAGCTGAATAAAAAATTCTTTCCCAGTGGGAGGTATGTTTTGTTGAAGTACTCTCCCTAAAGCCACTGGCAGTCCCATAAATAAAGACCACGCAACAAAGCAAACAGAGAGTCTTGATTTGGTTGGTGCGGAGTCAGCAGACTGGCATCCTCGTTCTAGGTCGAGCATGTTATGTTTATATTGCTCCTTCACTATGTAGAGTTGTTTAGATGAACATTTTGGTGCACAGTACTAGCTGGATCAGTGTAAGACAAGGTAATATTAAGCAATAGTCCACCATATTTCTAGATTTCTGGGTTCTAAGAACTGGTTCCTGAGTTGGGGGAGGGGATCGGGAAGTACTGAGCTTTGGTTCAACGTGGTAAAGATGATCCTCAGGAATTCGGAGACCCAGCACCTTTGACTGAAGCATCAGTGTTTGAAGACATTAGTGAGCCAAGAACCAGTCTTTTTTTTTAAGGAGTAGGGGGGTTCACAAAGCCAGTATGTATAGTTCCAAGCTAATACGAATCTGCCAGTGGTTTCAAAATCCTACTTCTACCTAAGGGAGAATTGACCCCCCAAAAAGGTGAAAGGAGTGACTCTGATTTTTTTTAAAGACTTAGCACACTGCGATTGCTTTTGCATGTGTTCTAGGAGAAAGGAGATTGAAAATTGGCAGGGGCAGGGACCTAGAACCATGAGAGTGACTTGCACATTTCCTCCCCCAGAAAGATGATGTCAAGGAGATTGGGGTTCAGCTCCATGGCGGAATTTCCTCACTGCCGATAGACCGTGGTGCAACACACGATCTGATATAAACTAAAGGCAACCAGACGTTTCTCTAGGAAGGGGAATGTTCTTTGTACCCGACCCAGGAACAAGCATTAGTCAAGCACAGTCTTAATTCAATCCAGACCTTTTAGCCCACTGGTATTTTCAGATGCTAGTAAAATTAAACATGTATATCACATTCCATCTAAGCTCAGACTAAAAGGTTATTTCTACTTTATTTCTCAGATGTTATCTAAATATCATTTTTATACTCATGAAGTAATTGACTGAAAGGTCTTTCTTAAGGATGTCCCCTGCCTTAGATTGGGGGGGGGGGAATACAAATTTTTAGCCCCGTAACACTGTGTGTGTGTTACTGTTCAGAAACAGAGTTAGACTCACTTTTGTATCACCATCTGTGTGAGTAGGTCTTAACTTCTTCTTTCCAGAGTTAACTGGAGGGGCAGCGGCACAGCTCTAGCTCAGAAACCTACATGTGAATGCAAATGTTCAACAGGAAAAGCATTTTTTTCTTCCTTTAAGCTGGCAGTGCTAACATAAGGCCCTCCTGTTCCCCACTGACCTTGTTCATTTCCTTCAGAACCTAAAAAGCATTTTCATAAAATAGGTGTTCAAGTGAGTGGATGCACCTGTAGAGAGATTCGGGGCATTTCTATTTACCATGGGTGTGTGTGACTCTGTTGATAGGGATCAAAGCGATGTGATCATTTTTTTTAACCTAACATGGCTGAAGGCATGTAACATAAAAGTATCAGGAACATTGACTGTTTTATGGTGTCTGATACGTTCCTGCAATGCCTCGTACGAAAAAGAACCACAGATGACATCTGATTTGTTCAGATTCTGTCTTCGTAACTGACTATATTTATGACCTTGAGCAAGCCGTATGCCACTGTAAACATCTCTTATCTCTTGGAATATCTGCTTTACGGGAATGTCCTAACTAAATGATATCCTCATCTGGTAAATTGTGGTCCTTTATTGTTTGAACCGGAAAAGAGTTCTTTTTCTTTCTATGAGGCAGATGAGGAAATGAATGACACTTTCTTTGAGTGCTAGGCATTTTCCGTATATTTTTCTCATGCAATCCGGAGAAAATGATGGGAAGTAGATAAGACTGTCCCCATTTTACAAATCAGGAAACTGAGACCCAGAAAGGAGAACTCAGAAGGTTGCGAGGTCATATAGATAATAACAGAGCCGAGCTGAGAATTCAAGTCCCAGACTTTCTGTCCAGTCACAGTTCTGTTACATCAGCGCTTTTCCACATTTTTTCTACCCATATGTGCCTAAGGACAGAGTGGGGTATGGGAGATCAGCCCAAAGGGGATGACCACCAGCACATAACTTCTTTAGAGCCTTGGGCTTATCTTTAGAATGAATGTAAATGAGCTAAAGGTTTCCCAGGAAGCCCTGCAGTAGAACTAAGCGTCCAGATTTGTCCCCTGGCTTTGACACCAGTTGGAGCAGCCCGGTGACGCACCCCTGCCCCTCTTTAAGATGGATTTTTCCCATGGATCCCAGAGAGCCTGCTGCTGAGTTTGACTTCTTCGTTATTGGTTTCATTTTGTTTTGTTTTGTTTTCCCTTCGATGTGAAAATTGGAAGTGTTGCTCTGAGAAGTCTTCACCAGGGCGTTAGCTAACTCGGTGCTTCCATTTCAGATCTCCATCCCGGCTTTCTCCGTGACCCTGATAAAGAAAACCAAGACTGCCCTTCTGGTGCCAAATGCCCTGATTATAGCGACAGTCACGGACAGGGTGAGTACACGCAGAGCAAAACTCGCTCCGTCCTGCTCTGACCTTCCCCTGCCCAGGGGGCCTCTTGCCAGGACCAAGACCGTGAATACCATCATCTGCCACAGGGAATCGGCATATATGCTGTAACACTAATCTTTAAAGTCCTGGCCTTTAGACATTTGTTTAGTGTTATTTCCCCTCACCAGATGACCTATTCTAACATAACTGTTGCCAATTTTTAATGTCCTGCTGACTTAATTATACTTGCTTGACCAAGGCCAAAAAAAATTAAGTTCTTTCCCAGCTTCCCTTTTTCTAACATCTGTCAGGCCAGACTAATCTGATACTCAGTTTCTTTCACATTATTTAAAACAACCACGATTACCACCTTGCTCACAGGGTGAGGCGGGATGACCCTGTGGAGTCCCTGGGGTCATGGTGGCCAGCCACCCCATAACCTCCGCTGGCACCTCTCCAAAGACATCCCAAGTACATAAAACTCATGCTTGCTCTGTGCATGCAGCTTCGGACCATCCCTGCTCCTCCTTGCTTCCAGGCCACTTTAACGATCCCTCTTCCGTACCGAAATTCCCAAGCTGCTGCTGACTGTCGGGAGACCACAGACGTGGGCGACCATGTGCACTGAGAGATGTGTATTTCGGCTTGGGAAGAGAGAGGGAGTGGAATATTTTGGTTACTCATATTTCAGTTGAAACTACTTTTTAATACTTTACCTATTATGTCTATGAAAGCATAAAAGCCTCATTCCATCTCTTTCAATACTGGATAGTAGAAGAGGGAGAAAGAAAGATAGAAGAGGCTATTCTGATGAGCTAGGAAATACGTTAACATCTAGTTTTTCAAAATGTGTAGATATATTAATGGCTAACAAGCATCAGGTACTTCTAACCAGGCATATGCTAAATACTTCCCTTATGTTTTCATTTATTCCATACTACCACCCTCTAAGGGGTAGGTACTGTTAAGAAAACAAGCTAAGAGGGGTTAAGTGAGCAGTTTGCCCAATGTTGCTGCTTAGTGTCACCGCCAAAATTTGCAACTGGGTTTGGCTAATGCCAGAACCCATAATGTCAACTGCCTTGGAATACAGCGCTTGCATTGCATTACATTGTGTTGTGTTGTGTTATGTTGTGTTGTATTTTTATGGGTGAATGGGAGGGGTAGTCACAAACTTTGGAAAGTGAGTCTGGACTCTATGTGGCTCAAACAGGTAGAGAAAGAATGAGTTATAATACTTTCTCAACCTTCTGTTTATGATACAATCATTTTTCCTAATGTCACTGGTCTCCAAATTACTTGTCTACCTCTGATTTTACTTCTTTCCCATAACTCACTTGTAAGCATCCACTACAAAAATGTCTATATTTGTACAAGGAAGAATCTGGAAGTGGCTGTATAAAGAACGAGCCTATTGGAGCTCCTGGGAAATTTTCAATGGAAATCTAGGTCAGAGCACAGAAAGAAAAACCCTCAGGAATTGCTAAAGACCTTTTTAAAAAAGCAAGTAGAGAGACTTCAAAGAGGATCTAGTAAATGTCACTAGCCTTTTTTTAATGCCCAGTTCAGTTCTCACTCGTGCTGATTTGGGGCACCTTTATCAGGAATTGGAGCCTTCATTTTTCACTGCATTTGTTTATTTACTTATATTGGGTTTGAGGATGTTGTAGCTATTGTTACAGAATATATTTCCTTTATTCCAGGAATAGAATAAAAACTGAATGTGTGGGAGAGCAGAATGAGAATATAGATCACAGAACAGTCTCTGTATCATTTAAAATGAAAGAACACAGACAAATTTTTGAACTCTGAGTACTCACTTCTCGTCAGACAGCATCCATCATTAATTATTCTGTTTTGTTTTTCAGTACATATTTGTGTCCTTACTCTCCAGAGATTCAACTTACAAACTACTAAAATCTGTGTGTGGCCACTTGGATGTGAGTACAACACTGCCCAGCCTGTGCTGCTGCCTGCCTCTGTGTTTCTTCCAGTTTCGGAGTAAATCTGGTGTTTTCTTTTGTTTCGATGATTTCAGAGTATAAGTGTTGGTAACAGTCCCAGTCCGTCTTCTCTTGAAAACAGTTTCCGGGTAGAACACCCTTCATCTCTGCCTCTGGTGAGTGGCCTGCGTGACTATGTCAGTGCAAAGTAAGGAAATATATTCCCCAGTCACGCCTCCTGTGCCGTGACCAGGGTGCAGGAGGAGCTTAGGGCCATAATATTAGAGGCACGTTGAAGAAACAGGGCATTTCGGTCCTGAAGAAGAGAAGGACCATAGGAGGTCATAAACTGTTTTTTCAAGCAACTAATTGGAGGCAAAGGAAATTGTGGTGCAAAGGAAAAGAAGCACAGTAGTGGGCCATCCTGGGGGTTACGGGACACTGAGGGTGTTCATAAAGTTTCGCTGCGTTTGCTTGTCAGTGTTGTGTCAGAGGGAGTCAGCAATCTATCTGGGGTAAGGAATGATTCATCCCACGGATGGTTAAATGTCTCCTGTGTTCAAGGCTCTGTGCTAGAGTGTGCCGAAAGAACACCAGGAAAAATCTAGAGTAGTTCATGCCTTCAAAGACTCGACAGCTTAGTGGAGAAGATGAGAAATGCCTAGAAATAACTGTTAAAAAAAGAAGAAAGAGAGAGAGAAAGAAAGAAACAGAAAAAGAAAAGAAAGAAAACTCTAATGCCCTAGTAAAAGGTAGAGGTTCTTTGATTCCTTTACATGTCACTGACTGTAGAATAAATCTCCAGTGGGGGGCAACGCCCCCACATCTCTGTACAAGATGTGTGCCTTTGCTGGGATAAGTTGGCCCAAAGAGTCCTAAGCACGTGATTCAAATGATTGTTCCCAAGCTCATTATTGTTAAATGTTGAAATACCTTTGGTGAAGTGGTACAAGCGTATGGTTTCAGCATCTAATCTACAAATCTTGGTATTATTATTTTTTTAACTTTATTTACTTATTTTCAGAGGAAGAAGGGAGGGAGAAAGATGGCGAGAAATATCGCGGGTCTCCAGCTGGGGACCTGGCCCGTCCCCCAGACATGTGCTGTGTCAGGAAATCAGACCTTTCGGTTCGCAGGCCAGTGCTCAGTGCGCTGAGCCACACCAGCCAGGGCTACAAATCTTTTTACTGAAAGGTGTTAAAAACTAGTGGGATTGAAAAATGCATTCACACAAAAACTTCAATTCATAGTAGCCAAAAAGCGGAAAAACCCTCATGTCCATCCATTGATGAATGAGTAAACAAAATGTATTCTATCCATACAAAGACATATTATTTTCCGAGAAAGGAAAGAACTACTGTTACACACTACAATATGGATGAACCTTGAAAACATTATGCTCAGTGAAAAAAGCCAGGCACAAAAGGCCACAATACTGTATGATTCTGTTTATACAAAAATATTCCAAGTAGGCAAATCCATACAGACAGAAAGCAGATTCGTGGTTGCCAAGACATGTGGGAGAGGGGAAATTTGGGGGTGGCTGCTGACGGAAAAGGTTTCTGTTGGGTTAATAGCAATGTCCTGAAATAAGAGCGTGGTGACGGTCGCGCAACATTGTCAGCGTTCTAAAAACTACCGCATCGTATGCTTCAAACGGTGAATTTTATCTTAAGAAAAATTTAAAAACTTTTTGTAAAACCTTTTAAACGTAGTGGAAAGTAGTTCGAAATAGAATTAACACGTGCGGGCCTCCGATGGGCCTGGTTCCGGACCTGGGTTCCGCCCGGTGAGCCTGGGGCCAGCCGTCCTGTGCGGAGCTTTGCATACTGCCTGATACCTGACGGGCGTCCAATAAATAATCATTCCATTGAAGATCCTTGAATTTTTCCCCCTTTTTTACCCTATAAAAATCTTGCATGAAATTGAAATGAATGTTAAAATGGCCAGAAGACAGCTAGTTGAAGGTGCAAGGTGGGTAATTTGCTCACACGATGAGTCTCTTCTTCACCCGACAGCGAACGAAGTCGTGGAGAGCGCAGCCTCGCAGCCCCTGCGCCAGGGTGTTTCCGCGGCAGTTCCCGTCTCTTTAGTTCTGAAGCACTTTGGGGGAATGAGCGGGTTACAAAGGAGAACATTCCTCCTCCTTTGCCTACTCCTCCTTCCTCTATCGTCTGTCTGTAATTCCAATGTAATACCACTCATGCTGCTTTGATTTAGTTAAGAGAAGAAAAAGGAAGCTGGAATTTTCCTTTCAGGGTCTAATGTGTCAGAGCCATTTTCCTTCATCTGTTTCCAATACCTTTTTTAAAAACTGTAATTCAAGAACACCTTGCTCTGTGTCTACCTATTCAAACGTACATTTAGATCTTTCTGTGTACTCCTTTCTTTTATATACATCTATTTCAGTCACTTATTTTCATTACACAGTGCTGAGGCTTCTGCAACTTTACCCTGTAAGCTTTCCAATCATCGGCATTCCAGTTTTGTTTTGTTTTGTTTTGTTTTTTTCTAGACGTGTGTTATTTCAAATAAGTTGGCCACTGTCGATAGAATTGTAACTACCCAGAAGAGTCTGTTTAGGAACCAGATACTTACTTACTCAGTGATCTGCTGGGAAAATCCAGTAGGGTGGAGTGATTCTTCCTTCTTGTCCATATTTTATATATCAGGCCTAAGTAAAAAGACCAGGGATGACAAAGGCCTGCCTTTTCAATGAGGAGAAATTGGCCCTGGTTGATGTGGCTCAGAGGATTGGGTGCCAGCCTACGAACCAAAAGGTTGCTGGTTAGATTCCTGGTCAGGGCACATGCCTGGGTTGCAGGCCAGGTTCCCCAGGACGGGGCACGTGAGAGGCAACTCGCTGATGTTTCTCCCCCTGTCTTTCTCCTTCCCTAACCCTTCTCTCTGAAAAATAAATAAATAGAATCTATTTTTTAATAAAAGGGTAGAGGAGAAACTGGCCTCTCTTCATTTCATTATTTCCCTTCAGGATTTCAACGATGAATTCTCAGATCTGGATGGAGTGGTTCAACAAAGAAGGCAAGACATGGAGGGATACAGCAGTTCTGGTTCGCAGACTCCCGAATCCGAGAACTCGAGAGGTCTGGGAAATTTTTATACCGTGGCTGAAATTTAATTCTCCACAAATATCTTTGCCCCACCCCTTAAAAACCAAAAAAGAAAACCAACAACAACAAGAAACCCTTGTCTTCCTGGTTAACAACTGGAAAGAGAATCTGGGGAAAGGGTAGTTTGAAAATTCCAGAAAACAGAACTGCTTATGTGGTAAAAAAATCCATTTCCATCTGTACATACTTAATAAATGTCTCTTAAGTTGACATAATATTAGGTTGATTGAAAGAGAGAAACATATAATGTTTTCTTCCCTCTTTTGATAATACTATTAATCATTATAGCTGAATTGTCTCCGTGAGTCAGTGGGATAAGGTCACATTGTCCTTATATCATTTTATTACTTATTTATTTGATTATTGGATTTCAGTCCCCAACCACTCAACCAACTTATGAGAAGGTCCATTTATATACGTGGCTATTTTGCATGTTAAGAGCTTGACTTGCATTTGTGGTTGAGATGACAATTTGAATGTTTTGAGGAGACAACTTACTCAGCCCCGTTCTGGCCTGGCAGATTTCCATGTGACAGAATCCCAGACAGTTCTGAACGTCTCCAAGGGAGAAGCGAAGCCACCTAGGGCAGACCCCCACGTGAACAGAGTGCCTGAAGGGAAAGCCAAGAGTCTCCCTGCACACGGTAAAGAACGGGTCGGGGTGGGGGGTAGGGGGAGGGCTTGTACCTTTTTTTAATTTTCTTCTCTCTTTTTTTTTTTGTTTGTAACTTTTAAAGGGATTTCATTTTATGATTGCCTTTCATATTCCCTCCCCTCCCTTCGTGTTGTAGATCTTTGCATGTTAAATCACCTGTTCATTCAATAAAACATGACCAAGTCTCCTGCTTTACCATGAGGGATACGAAGGCGAACAGCCTTCATGGAGGTTCCAACGTTATAATGAATACTTTGAGACCATGATTCAAAAAATGCTGTTAAAATTAAAAGTGTTGAATTATTTCTCATTTACTAATGATTCTAATAACTGGTTACCAGTTGTACTGGTATGAGAACAAGGGTGATATCTGTAGGGTTCACCATTCACTCCAACGCAATGCTTGACACAGAAGAGGCTCTCGGTACACGTGGAATGAATGAAATATTTGGAAAGAATTGTAACTGCTGGTTAGTGACAGCTAGAAGGCTTCAGTTAGTATTTTCTGTGACTTCTATTACTTAGGAATAATTATCTCTTTCTGTTTTAATGCATTTTATTTTACTTTTTAATTTACCAATTTGAAAGGGAGATGGGGGAGAGAGATGGAGGGACAGAGAAAAAGAGACACAGAGAGAAACACTGATTTGTTGTTCCACTTATTTGTGCATTTATTGGTTGCTTCTTGTATGTGCCCTGACTGGGGATTGAACCTGCAACCTTGGCATACCGGGCCGAAGCTCTAACCAACTGAGCCACCTGGCCAGGGTCTAGTTTTCTCTTTTAAGGACATCTTCCCCATAGCAATATTGCTGGATGGATGTGTTTTAAAACTGTAACTTCTCACTTTCCACCCCACAGTTCAGTCAGAAACCATTGGAATCTTACACAACGTACAGTCTCAGAAATACCCAAATCTCCGCCAGATTCTTATATTCTATGCAATCGTGTAAGTAAATTAATTTACTGAAAGTGACTTCAGAAGATGATTTAGTTCTGTATAAAGGGATGATGTTTTCATATTGCCAAGAGCCATTGTAAATCTCAGTTGTGTCTAATGCGACCCAAATCTTTTCTGCAACAAGTTTTGTTTCCTATTTCCACATTTTTTTCCTTAGGCTACTAAGGTCACATTTTCATGTCTATCCCTTTCTGATTTAAACAGTGAGAAGGGAGCAAGGAAAAGCAAAACAGTTGTGCCAGATCAAGCAAAAGACTTAAATTTTGAGGGAATTAGTTGGGAAATTAAAACGAAGCATCTTTGCCCTTATTGTTTATTTTCCATCCAACCCATGTTCTCTGGATAGAGGCCAGAACAACTTCAAAATGTCCTCCCCTTTATCTGAACCTTTGGCGTTGACTTTTTAACTTCCCCCTCGGCTTCTAGCCTGTAATCAGTTGTTGTTCTGAAAATAGCCTGACCCAGTTCTAGGCTGTTCCTTACAGCCCAGGAGGATGTGCCCAGTTTGGCTTCCAGATAAAGAGAAGAATTTGTGAGTCACCAGGGAACAAGACGGGGCCCTTCTACTGAGGGAGACGTCCCAGGTGGAAGGAAGCGCGCCTGCTGGCTTGGTAATCCTCCTCGGGTGCGGCCTATTAGCGTTTCTTGTAAACTGAGAAACTTGAGCTAAAGGACACGAAAGCCCCTTCTCACTCTAAAGTTTTGTGACAAGCATCAGCCTGTCGAATAAAGATCTTTTGAATGTCTCTTCAGCCAAGTTGTTTTAGAAAATACCTTGCCTCAAATGTGCATGGGCTCTGAAGGTATCGGTTTATGAACATCTGGGCCTGGCCGTTAACCACTGAGATTTCTGTTCTATCCCTCTCCAGGGTCTGCGCACTCATCATGTCGACCTTCTACATGAGATACAGGATTAACGCCCTGGAGGAGCGGCTGGGGTCGCTGACCTCCATTGTGGACAGCCATCACACCGGGTAAGACATTTCCCTCCCCTGCTGTCATCCGCGTGCTGTTCAGATTTGTATGGCATTTGACCTGAGCGCAGCAACCTTCGTAGCAGATATTAATCAGGGATACATCTTGTATGAGACATTGTAAGTGTGTGTGTGGGAAGAGGTAGGAAGGTCCTAGACATGAATGAACTGATTGTGCATGTTCTTGAGCTGCTATAGTGTCGCCAGTGACAAGGCGAGAAACAAGCCTAAGTTTACATTATCTTGTTCTATTATCTAAGGCTCAGCTGTGACCTTGGCCCATTTCTTGGAATATAAAAGTTTCTCTAAGTAAAATGGCAAGGAGTCAAGACTTTCACAGGAAAGAAGTAATTCAAGTTACTCAGCACATTTCTTCACCTAGAACCCTTTGTATTAGCCCATCCGTTTACGAAATCTCTGACTGGGGAAACGCTCTATCGCTGTGCTTTATACCTGCCTGAACTAATGAGACCTGTGCAGATGTAGAGCCCCTTCCTTCCCATGGGGACCTTGACACACTGCCTAAAAAGTAAACTAAGTTATTCTATGTTGGAAAACATACTTTTAGCATGAGATTCAAAAGTAGAGATACTCCTTTGCAGAGTACATACCATGTGCTAGAGACTCGAGTAGAATGGACACATGCATGCACAAATACAGTTTTCTCTCACTGTCTCTCACTATACCCTACAAGGTAACCATTATCCTCATGTGACAGATGAAGTAACCAAGACGCAGAGAAAGAATTTGCTGAATGTCTTATAGCCTGAAATTGAATCAGGATTCAAACATAGGCCTGTATGACTACAAAGACCGTAGTTTTCCCAGTCTACCCAGGGCTACTTGGTTGTGAGAAGCAGCCTAGATCAGGGCTGGGCTATTTTCAGCGTGCTTCGGAATCATTCAGGGGGCTTGTTCAGACAAATTATAGGGCCCATCCCCTAAGTTTCTGATGTAGTGGATCTGAGCTTGGGCCTGAAGATTTGCATTTCTCTCAAGTTCCCAGCGATGTCGACAGTGCCGGCCTGAGGTCTACTCTTGGAGAATTATTATGCTATTCAGTGTAGGACCTTTCTTTATGTTCCAACCATTACCTGAAAGTCTTGTTCTGTGGGTTAATAGTATTCTGGCTACAGGTTATTTTTGAACCATAAATATATATACTTGACCCAGGAGTACAAAAGCCTAAAGAGTGGTTTGGAATAGGTTCATTCCTTGCTCATACTTCTCTCCCATCTTGTTCAAAATGTTAATAGAATTAGCAGTGACTCTAGGTTATTGCATACTCTTCTGTTCACTATCATATAAGGGTTTATTTTAGGAAAATGTACACCATTATGGTGTTACCATTCCGATAACTTGGTGGTGATGAGTGGGAAATTCCACTAACAAAGGCAGATGAAATATCTATTCTACTATTTAAGTAATCAACTCAAGAAGAAGTACAGTCCAAAAACTAATCATTAAAGGAAAAATCACAAAGATCCTACATGACATCAGATCAGGGAACCACATATGACGGAGAAAGTTCTGTTAGTAAAGTACTATACAGAGACACCCCCCCAGGACCTTGCTCTGCCCAGGACAATTCACCCGGCCACTATGCCCAGGTTGCCGAATCCACATACCTGATCTGATTTGATTCCATACCCTGTACCAGCTTCATTACTACAGGTACAGCCTATGATTGTCCGAATTTTATGTTGATAGTCAGTACTCTGGGTCTCAGATTCCTCACCCCAAAACTGAAAGATTTAGATTCAGGTTCTTTTTTGGGATCTAAGATTTTGGTAGTATGGATCAATGATTAAAAACTGTTTTAGTACTAGAAATTTTTTTTTAAATCTGATTGCTTTCTTAATATTTAGATAATCATCAATAATTTACCAAGTGCCTATATCTCAAAAATGGATCATATGTAAAATATGATAGACCAATCATTACCGTCTAAAAATTTAATGGTGACAAATAAATTACAACCAAGAACTAGAGAGGAGCTACAGACCATGGTTCTTAACCTTAACACAAAAATCTGATAAATAGCTTTAGATGATGTCTCCGGGAAAAAATCTCTGAATTTCTTAGTTTCAGCTGTCACAGGACTCCAGGGGGCCCAGAGTAAGAAAGAGCCCGCGCCCTGTAGTCTAATGGTGAGCAGTGAACACATCTGACAGGCGTTGAGATGAGAGCAAACCACCTCTGTAGGGCAAGTCTCGAAGGACTACAGCAGCCTCACACTGCAACAGAAATCCGATGAGAGACATTTCCACACGTCCTGAAACTTCTCCTGTGAAGCCTTCCTGCTCCCACAAAAACAAAATATGGATGTAACTGAGAAGAGCAGTGACTCTGGCAAACTTATCCTGTAGTGGGGTTAGAGAAGATATTGGAGGCTAATCAAAAGGGTTTAAGAAACCACATGCTTGAGAATAATTGTACGATTTTTGTTTGGAAGCCGAGGCCCAACACGGCCACTTAAACAAAAATAGCTTAAGGGATTTATTTCCAGTTGAGCTGTGAAATAGTCCCCCGACCTCTAGTCTGGGGCTGTGGATTACTGCAGGACACTTCTGATGCTAAGTTAAATGCTCACTCTCCTCTGTTACAACCTAGCTTTCTGTTCAAGTACATTTTAGATGTGTTTATTCCATTCCTTTCTTTGCTGTTCCTGCCCACAGTCATTTTTCTCTTTGTTCTCACAGGCAGGCAGCACCTTCCGGCCTGGGGTCACAAGTGCAATTAAACGTGGAGGTCCTCTGTCGACAGCTCACAGCTAACATCCTGAAATTGGAAAAGGTGACTGATTCTCGCCTGTGTTGGGGGCAGTCACAGTCATGCCTTCACGTGCCACAGATCAGTGGTCACAGGTTAAAATGCTTCTGGTACAGCAGGCAGCCTGAAGGACCAAATCCCACCAGGGGTTATGTGGTAAATGTGAAAGACTGTTATTTCCACCAAGAAATAGGTTTCGGTCTCATTTTCCTTGATGGTCTATCTTCTGCTTTTCTTCCTTGGTTGGAACTATTTTTCTGTGTCATAGGGCCCAGTGGCAAGTGACCCCTAACCCAGGGCCTCGGGAGGGACGCAGTAGGGAGTGCCCCAGCCAGAAAGTGCCGTCCTACCTCCGCCCAGGCCGGTTGTGGCCGTACATAAAACACTGCATTCATTCCCGGTTGGAACCCTGGGAGCTGGTGCTGTTGTTCCTCTCTAGGACAGAGGAAGACTCCAAGTTCCGATTCACTTGCTCAAGGAGACACACCTAGAAAGTTGGCAGACCTGAAGCAGGTCTGTGTGACTTCAGATTTGTCCTTGGAACCCCCTGCTTTACTGCCCTTCAGAATCCAACCATAGCCCCTGCTGAGGGCGACTGAGTACCTTTACCTATAAAGTTATCATCCTGTACGGTGGCGTTCGGACAGACCTGTCCTTATGTTTGCGGCATTCTTAGATCTCAGTAGGAGGGTGAACCAGAGAAAAAGGGAGGCACGCCAAAAGTACCCCAAAGCTACACCTGATTCACTTCTCTCTACTCCTTTCAACGTGTTTATCTCTTCCCCTCTAAAACTTTTTTACCCTGATCCTTAAGGAAAGGGCTACAGTGAAGTGTTCAGTTCGAACACACAAATGCCCGGTAGCCTTCCATTCTAGTGCAGTTGCGCCTACTTGGGAAGAGACATGAAATATAAATGAGTCAACGTGTTTGTTTTGCTACACTAAATGTTATCTAGCATTTACCCACTGAAGTATTAAGAGCAAAGGTGTTTCCAAACTTCTGTTCTTAAACCAGGGCATGCCAGGTAATTCCTATTGAATCACTGTATCTATGCACTGACTTGAAAACTTTTTCTTTTTTAAGTCCAAAATCAACCTAGAGAAGGTATGGGGTAGCAGCTAGAATTGTTTTTTTTTTCCCTAAAATGTTAGTTACTGGGAATTGAAGATAATTTTTCCTTTTTTTTTAATAATGAAATGTTTGCCAGTGTTTGGCTTCCATGCTGACCAAGTGAACGGGATGATTTTAATTTTCCATTTTGCTCACTCCGGTAAACACTGGTTTCTTTCAACAGAAAGCACACAGAATCCTGCTGCCCTTTCCTGCATTTCTCCCCTCCCCCCTGCTGGGCCTGGCTAGGACACCACATTCTGTAAGGAGGGACAGAAGAACAGGGGCTTGGAGAGGGCCCACTGCTCAGCTGAGGGGCCTGTATACCAACAGAAACCTCTGTCCAGGGCAGAAGCCTCACAGGTGGATTGGGGTCAAAGTGCATATGTTGACATTCTACAAAGTTATAAATTGCACACGGGGCTCAAAGGAATGGAAGCAAAGAAAGTTACCAGGCCACACCCACAGTCTTTTTAACCTTTTTAACCGGTCTGCCTGGCCAGCCAGAGGCAATCCTACTACAGTGCAGCACAGCCTGGTGGCGAAGCCAGCTGCTTGTGGTGGGAACGGAGGAGCCCTGGCTCAGCTCATCTTACTCTGTACCAGCAATTTCTTTCTCCTCTCCTTCGGCAACGCCTCGCATCCAAGCCTCTTGCTCTGCCCTGCTGTAACTTCCTGATTTCTGTTCACGGCATCATGGCCCTTTCAGGGAAATCTAAGAACAGTTTGTGACTCCCTTCTTTTTTTCACTTGCCACCAATTGACTAATCAGTTAAGCAGTCCTATATGACCTATCTTCAAATGTCTCCTCAAAGTCTCTTCCCATTGCCACCATCTGTGTGCCCTCTGGCCCCCTACTACCAGTCTAACTGTGGGGGATCAGAGCTCGTTATGGTTTTTATTTACATTTTCCTGATTTCTGCCGCTGGTGAACATCTTTTTATATATATTCATTGGCCATGTGGATTTTATTCTGTAAATTGCCTGTTTATCTCCTTTGTTTTATTTTTGGGTGTTTTTTGTCTTTGTAGGTATATTTGACGTGTTTTAGATACCGGTCTGTGGTTTCATTTCTTTTTCTGCCTTCTCAGTCCTGCTTTTATCTTTGGTCCTGCGGGACTGGTAGGGGAGACATGAAGTAGCAATGTGGAGGATGAAGGCAATGCTTTTTATGGGCAAAGAAGGAAATACTTTCTTAGTACTAGAAGTGGCATTTATGGTGGAGCAGTACAGAAGAAAGAGCATCAGTTCTGGAGTCAGACCTCTGTTCTTATCCCCACTCTGCCATTTACGACCTCTGTGACTGGTCTGGTCCCAGAGCCCTCTGGCCCCCCGTTTCACGTGTAACACCTGCCCCCGTGCGGCAGTGGCGGTGCGTGGTGACGGTGCATGTGTGTGACGTGCCTGACACGGATGAGTTAGGTCCCCTCCTCTTCACTCGCCCCTCGTCTGCCTGCAAGACACCCCAGACTCCCCTTCCGAAGGAATGGAACACATTCTCCTTCATTTGTTCCTCAGGGTTCCGTACCCCTACCCAGTACTGGTTGTGGAGAATTCCTTGCCCTGAATTCTTTGAAGTTCATTTACTCAGCAAACATTTACTAAGCAAATTGTTAATGTTCAACACTGTTCTGTAGTCTTGAGAGTCAAAGACATAGCAGGGTCCCTGTCTCTGTGAAATTCACACTCTTCTAGGAAATGTACAGGCGTGTTAAACACTCCTACTCGGTGTTTGTCTGACTCACGCCATCCAACGGGCTGTGTGAAGACCAGCTCCCGGGGTGTCTAACGTTTTGGGTCACACCTGGTATCTCCAGTGCTGCTGTTCTTTTTCTTGCTTCTGACTTCTCTTGGTCTCCACTGACATTTTCATCTTTCTCTGTGTAGCATTTTTGAAAAATCTCAGGCTTTATATAGGCCTTAGCAAATGTGCCCTTAATATACTCCATTCTATTTAATAACAAGGGCTTCTCTGTTATTATTTCAAGATACAGAACAACTTACAAAAGTTGCTTGAGAATGGCGACTGACCGACCAGATTGCTTGGGCCAACATGATACCTCGCGCTTCCCTTTGAAGAAGGTGCTCCCAGAGGTGTCCTGGTGGAGCGCTCCCTGCTGGCCAGAGGAGCGAGCAGCACCACATCCCCAGCCATGTTTGCACTTGGAGGTCTCCAGCTCAGGAAAGAGGGGTGGGGAGAATGATTTTGGTTCCTGTGCAATAAAAGTTGACCTTGACTCTTTGAGGAAGTTTTCAGTGCTGCTGTCTGAAGAAAACACCAATCCCGGGAGGTCTCAGGAAGGACCTGGTGGACACTCCTGTGGATGCCTGCAGTTCAGTGGCCACGGCGACTGTGTCAGCAAACACACTCCACAACACGCCTTTTCAGTCCTTCCCACTCTCCCTTACACCCCAGCCTTCAAACTAAGGGATATATCATGTGCCAACAGACCCGACGTGGTCCTTTAAAGAATTCGCCATAACTCTCCAAAGGCAATAAAGAGCTCTGATGGACAGACTTGCTTCAAAGAAATAACACCAGCATTTTTCCCCTTCTACTGTAATGTTCTAGTTTAAATCGTGTGTGTATCCTCTGAATTGAATATTGGCAAGAATATTGGGCAAAGCAGATAAACCATCCCATTTATGCTTTGTTTTGCTCCTCTAACTAATAATTGTACTGATTCTCACCCACCCCAGATCGAGAATCTGAGAGCATGGGACTGAAGCACTAAATAAACTTACTTTGAAACCAAAACTAATCTTTAAACGCAAAGGTATATGATTTGACACAGGATGAAAAACACCATATTTTTAAGATGGTAGGTGGACTATGTTACTTTTGAAAAAAAGATGTCTGTATTGAATGTTGAACCCCATTTCAGCATGATGATAGCATGCTTTTTATCTTTTGCTGACTAAAATAAAAAAATAACTGGTGGTTTGCTAACTTCTATTTACCATATGGGTTGCCTGGTTTTTATTAATAATTATTTAGGTACTGTAAGATCTGTAATATAAAGATACTCTGTTTCTATCTGCAATGCATTTTATAATCATTTCTATGAAATGTATTTTATTTAATCAGATAAGCTAATAAGTGAATTGGTTACATCATTTGTATCTGTTAGCCTCCTGGACAAGAATTGTGCCTGGCGCACCCTGGCTTTTAATAAATACTCATGGGTTAAAATGCCCTGCTAGCACTGTGCTTTGTGGGTTTCTAAACTTTTAGCTAAGACAGTATGCTTTTTAACTGCTTCTTCCTCTCTACTACTTCCAACTCACCCATCCCTCTTTTGAGTATTCATTTCAGAACTCAAAAAGTATGAGGTATTTAAATTGAGTTGCAGTAATATAAGGAAAAGAAAACGAACTCGGACATCAGGAAAACCAATGCTTGATTCCCAGGTCCGCACTTTATGAGTTATGTGACCGTAAGCAAGCTACATGGCCATCTTCCCCATTTTATTGCCAAGGCTGAGAAGACCAACGGAAAGTGTCACTGTGAAGGTCAAATGTGAGAATGTCTCAGTTAAACTATAACTCTATGTCCGGCAAGCAGTTTACTCTCATTACAGACACCATATACATTATTTTTGTAAAGTGTTTTTGTGTGTGACATTCCAGTTTTATAAAAGTTTTATGTCAATACTTTATAGTCAAAACCCGTTAGGGATTCAAAAGTGGGTCAGCCACCCCTCAAGAGAAATTTTACAACTGTGAAGAGCCTTTAAAAGGTTCAAATGTTACTGATTTAGTAATATGCCATCTAGGAATTTATCCTGAAGCAATAAGCAAAGATCTAGTCAAAAGTTTATATACAAAAATATTCTTTGCAACTTTATGATAGCAAAATATTAGAGACTCAAAATACTCAAGAGCAGAATAATTAAATGGCATTGTTATTTAGAAAAGTGTTGTCAAAGAATGACATAAATAGCATTAAAGGGGTAGGCACATAGTTTGATCCCAGTTGTATAAATATTCACATATATGTGTGGAAGTACATACACATTCACCTTTTGTATACTCTCTAAATTTTGCATAATGAACAGTTACTACCTTTTTTTAGTGGAAAAATCAGGGGTTTTGGGGGGAGGGGATGGGAAAGCAGTTACCTGAGAGGGACTTAAAGGAACCAGAACAGAATGAGCGTGGGTGTAATTCACATTTAACTGCTGCTGTCACTTTTGCCACTGTTTGACTCAGAGCGTATCATGTCTCATGTTTTAATTAGTAAAATTTAATCATTTTTCATAAACCTGAATCATCTTCCCCAAACTCAGTTTTACCCTACCCTCACAGGGTACTTTATCATTGCTGTTTTTTCTTTTTATTGAATTTATTGGGGTGGCACTGGTTACTAGTGTTTTTAATCACGTTCATTTAAAATATTAAGTAGTTCTCAGGGAATCAGATCTTACAACTGTGTATCTCTCTTCCCCTACACTATGGATAGTTTTCAGTGTTTTTTCCAACAATCAATATAGTTGACTCTTCCGAAGAGAAAGAGCGTCATCATTTCTGGATTTAGTTGTTGTTTTTGTTGTTATTACTATTACTTTAGGGATGTTGCTGCTTCTTTCATTTTTGATAACTAGCTCCTAAGTCAAAATCTGATGCAAGTGGATCTAAATGGTGATGCCCAGATCACACATCTGTATATTAACTACAGAGAAGCATGGGAAATCTGTGTGTCAAGAGCAGAGATACTTCTGATGTGCTCAGTAAACCTGCAGGTAAGTTAGCCATTGCTGCCAGTCACCTTCATACATGTGAAAAAGGAGGAGGAGGAGGAGAAGGAAGGGAAGAAAAGGAGGGAGGGGAAGGAAGAGTAGGAAAGAGAAGAAGAGGCGGAGGAAGAAGCCGCAGTAGCAGCATAGGCAAGCACACATTTGGGATTCTCAGCCCCTACTGCCTAGCTACAAAAGTAGGGGATTCTAAAGTAGGAAGGTGTTTCAGATGCTGAGTGGCCAAAAATAATAGCAAATGTTTACCATATGCCTTGCCCTTTAAAACTTAAGTATCGGCCCTGACCACTGTGGTTCAGTCGGTTGGGCATCATCCTGCAAAGCAAAAGGTTGCCAGTGTGATTCCTGGTCAGGGCACATGCCCCGCTGTGGAATTTTTTTCTCTCACACTGATGTTTCTCTCCTTCTCTTTCTCCGTCTCCTCCCCTCACTCTAAAAATAAAAATATTTCTTCCTCTTCTAAAAATGAAAAATAATAAAAAAATAAAATGAGTGTTACCTTAATAGAATCAGAAAAAAATAAACCTTAAAAAGAGATGATTGGTTGAATGCTATTCCTATACATTCTGATATTTTAGTCTATGATTACATACTATTTCAATGAATAGAAATTACCAGTCTCACACAAACAGGAAAATCTGTTATTATTGGCTTTTCAAGGTTTGTGAATATTTAAGACACCTTTCTACATACAGACCTCAATACTCCAAAGTATTTCCCAAGCAGGCATTTATCAATTCCTTGAAACCATCCCAGACACATATTTTAAGATGCCTGTTGCTTGCCTTCCACAACTCATCCTAATTCATAAATTCATGGAGTCACACCAAAAAACTTCCAATTTAAGTGTGAATTGTCTCATGCTGTTTTGATTTCTATAACCAAATAGTGAAATTCAGAAAATGCTTTTCTTGTTTATCTGTTTGTGTCTGATGATCCCAAGGTCATGAGTACTAGCATGTAATAGACAGCCCAGGTGATTTTCCTCTCAAGCATTTTATTAAAAGTCAAAATTCTAAACATCAGTAATAGTTATATCATCATTTGGGATCCATTAACCTGATCTCATAAAGGTGCCCAATGATATAATCTTTTCATGTGCTTCTTTTAAGCCTATCTCTGCTGCTAATAATATTAACAGTTCTTAACTAAATCATATATTAAATAAAGGACCTTTAATCATTGAATTTCCAGTACCCCTGTGTTTTTGCTTACTGTGAAGCTTTATCCAAAATAATTTATAGATTTAATGCAACCACAATCAAAATTCCAATGCCCTTTTTCACAGAAATAGAATAAACAAAATGCCCTTTGTTCCTCCTTCGAAGGAAGGACAAAAGACCCTAAATAGCCAAACAAAGCAATCTTGAGAAAGGACAATGACTGATGCACAACTTCCCTGGTTTCAAACTGTATTACAAAGCTATAGAAATCAAAACAGTACAGTACCAGCATAAAAATAAACACATAGATCAATGGGAAGAAAGAACCAAGAAACAGACTAGTGAGATACCACTTTACACCGGTCAGGATGGCTATCATAAACAAAGCAACAAACAACAAATGTTGGAGAGGGTGTGGGGAAAAGGGGTCCTTAGTTCACTGTTGGTGGGATTGCAGACTGGTACAACCATTATGGAAAACAGTATGGAATTTTCTCAGAAAAATAAAAATTGACCTGCTTTTTGACCCAGCAATTCCACTGCTAGGATTATATCCTAAAAATCCTAAAACATATCAAAGAACCTATGCACCACAATGTTCATAGCAGCACAATTTACAATAGCCAAGAGTTGGAAGCAACCTAGGTGCCCATCAGTAAATGAATGGATCCAAAAATTGTGGTACATATACACAATGGAATTCTATGCTGCAGAGAGAAAGAAGGAGCTACTACCTTTTGCAACAACATGGATGGAACTGGAAAGCATTATGCTGAGTGAGATAGGCCAGATGCTGAAAGACAAATACCATATGATCTCACCTTTGACAGGAAGCTAAACAACAAAACAAACAAGCAAGCAGAAAAAAAAAAACAAAGACACTGAAATAGAGAACAAGGGGACAGTGACCAGAGGGGAGAAGGAAGGGAAGTTAAGGGGAAAAAGGGGGAGGGATTTGGAGGAACAAATAGGAAGGACACAGGGACGAGAACTAAGGGGTGTGGAAATAGGAGTGAGGTGGGGAGCAAGGGGCAGGGGAGGCTGGGATGGGAGAAATAGACAAAAAACTGTACTTGAAAAATAACTAAATAAAATTAATTTAAAAAAAAGAAACAGACTAGTATATACATGGTAAATTAATTTAGGACAAAGAAGCCAAGAATATACAATGGAGAAAGGACAGTCTCTGCAATGAATGCTGCTAGGAAAATGAACAGCCACATGTAAAAGAATGAAAGTATACTACTTTCTTAAACCATACACAAAAGTCTTGAATGTAAGACACAAAACCATAAAACTCATAGAAGAAAACATGGGTGAGGAGCTCGTTGACATCAGTCTTACAAAGATTTTTAGGATCTGATTCCAAAAGCCAAGGCAATCAAGCAAAAATAAACAAGTGGAACTCCATCAAACTAAAAAGCTTCTGCACAGCAAAGGAAATTATGAATGAAATGAAAGGCAACCTATGAAATGGGAGAAAATATTTGTAAGTCATATATTTGATAAGGGGTTAATACTCAAAATGTATAAAGAACTCATACGACTCAATAGCAAAAATAAACAACCTGATTTTTCAAAATGAGCAGAAGTTCTGAATAGACATTTTTCCAAAGAGGACATACAGATGGCCAACAGGTGCATAAAAAGAGGTTCAACGTCACTAATAATCAACAAAACTCATATCAAAACCACATGAGCTATCACCTTATACCTGTTAGAATGGCTGTTACCAAAAAGACAAATGAGTGTTGGCCAGAATGTGGCAAAAAGGAAACCTGTGGGCACAGTTGCTGAGAAAAATATAATAAATTGGTGTGGTCACTGTGAAAAACAGTCTGAAGGTTCCTCAAAAAATTAAAAATAGAACTGCTTTATGACAGAGCAAATCCACTTCTGGGTATATATCTGAAGAAAATGAAAACACTAAATTAAAATATATATATGGACCCCATGTTAATGGGGCATTGCAGCCTGATTTACAATAGCCAAGATATGGAAACAATCTAAGTGTCTATCAACAGATCACTGAATTTTTGAAAAATGTGTTGATACAACTTTCGGCCAAGATGGAGGCATAGGTAGAAACACTGTGCCCCCTTGCACAACCAAAATAAGGACAACAATAATTTAGAAACAAAAAACCAGAACGAACAGAAAATCAAACTGTATGGAAATCCAACAACCAGGGAGTTAAAGACCAAACATTCACCTATACCAGTAGCAGGGGCAGAGACAGGCAGCGCAGACAGAGAGGACTTACGGCGAGGCAGCAGCTGGCAGACCCAG